TTATCACTCGATCAGTTTGAATTTGATTAGCTAATTCTTTCATTCCCGTTCCAGTCAGCTGACAAGTAAGAGTAAAATTTCAAGTTTAGTTATCGCCCAGCAACCACTGGAAGCTTGTTCTTACTCTATGATAATCAGTTGACCGAATAAGGACAAAGTAATGTATTCTTGGTCAATCCCTCTTGTCCTTGACGAGATTTCTTAGATGAGATCGCACCTGATTTCGGTTTCGAAGTTCAGAAAAAAGATAAAATATCCATAAGTTTGAATCAATTACATATTTTACGCAAGGTCACTTTTAAGCATCGAGATACAAAACGTTTCGTATCTGTAGATAAATAAACTTAAATTCTTCCAGGCTATTCTATCAAAAGAAAAGTTTCGAGACTCATTAATACTCCAAACACTAAGAATTTACGCGTCGACGAACTATCAGAAATTTTCGAGATTGTGAAATTCTTTCTCCGGGCTATAAAACTAGTCGAGATCTGTGGAGTCAGCTAGTATATGATCGGACGCTATTTAAGTCCCAGTTCTGCTAACGTGATCCGAATCTCATTAACATGCACCCGCTTCCCTGCGTATACGGTATTGCCACCTAAATTCATATAGGCCGAGTCGATATTCACAAAAAATTCTTTTGCCGGAACCTCTTTAATTTATTTCTATAAGCAGTCTACTAAGATGGAAATTTGTAAAGAGACACTCTTCTCTAAAATAGAATTGCGACCTATCTTCAGTATACTTTTTTTATGTAATGTCACATGACTGGAAAGCAAAAGTAGAAACCGACCAATTTAAAACAATGTTCAATTGATAACTGCTTGACAATCTAATCAGAGTTTTTCTCAACACTAAAAATAGTGAAAGAGGCTTTTTTTTTCTTTTTTTCTTCAAAATTTATACGCTTTTTGACTTTCCCATCCTTACTAGTGAGCATTTAAATAATTTACATTGCATACATTTATTTCCTTTATTTAAATAATGGTTATTTGCGTAATTATCAATCAAGAAAAACAAAATTCTATATTTTATAAACAGATATATAATATTTTCAAAATATTGCATTTCAGTTTAATCAGGTTGCGGTTATACGAGTTCAAGTTTGAAGAGAATTAACACCATATTTATATATAATGTATCAATTTTAATATTTATAATTTTGTTGTGTACTTTTGTAGAAATGTACAGAATAATTAATGATTTCTTTATGGATTTATAAGCATCGAAGATGGCAATAATGCAAAGTATATAATAGAGAAAAGGTTATTCGCTAGAAAACATATACACAAAATTTATAAACGATCGAATCCTTTACGAGAGGAAGTACTTATCTTCGTAGCTTAATAGTTATTTGAGTGGCCAAATATCTCTTCAACTAATCCTACCATATCCTGAAATCCAGTAACATTATTTGAACAGATCTCACCTGGACAAGTAAAGATTAACCATTCCGCTTTCGAGATATTTTTCTAAACTTATATTTTCTTTCTTTTTTTCCTACTTAAAAATCTATCAAATTCTTTCTTAAGATACTTTGTATCTGTTTATTTCCTTTAAAAGAAAACTATATCTGTTGGCACGGTATTCTTTTTCCAGATTTTTGGCAAACGTTGAAAAACCCTGGGGACCACGAAGTATGACACAACCCATGCTCTTCATCATGTGGCTAGACTTGTGTCTGCACCTGACCTACCAATAACTCGCTAAGATTTAAATTATAAGAGAGTAAAATAGTCGTAGGAAAACTCAAAAATTACTTTGTGTCAACATAAATATGTTTGTTCTCTTTTATACACAGATGTTAGCAAATGTTCGCTTTCGTTAACCACAAATAACACCTTGTTTACTTTTGCAATTGTTGCCAATAAGAAATATAGAAAGAATGTTACCGATTTTTAAAATATTATTTCTTAAATTAGACTTCTATTCTTTTAGAAATTACATTATATCTTTAAAATATCGAGTATAATTAATTAAATTAGAAAAATTTCAAATTTTATTACATTTATAACCTTCTATTTATAGTCTATGTAATAATAACAAAAATTACATATTTCATAACCATTTTTTTAAAGATTTTATGCCCTTTGATCTTAGGATTTATAAACAAAAGTCTTTTATATAAAATATTTCTGTATATAAATTTTTACATAAAGATCCTTTAACTCCTAATAGCACAGAAATTGTTTTAAAAAGTGAATTTAATGATGTTAATATTAATATTAGGAAATAATAAGTAAATTTAAACTTAATATTTCTGTTTTGTTTAATAAAATTTGGAAGTTTTTACATATTGATTATATATTTTATATTATATATCAAGTTTTATAGAGATTCATAAACTCTATAAAAGATTAATTGTGCTAGAAGATTGTTTGAATACCTATAAAATAATTGAAAATCTACATTTTATGTATCAAGATTTATGTAGATGCATTAAATGCAAAATTACATACAGTTCTCTTAGTGTTTATAAGACAAAAAATGTAAAAAGTATATGAATATTTAAAATTTATGAATAGTTTAATGATAAAAGAATTATTCTATAGTTTATATAAATATTCTGAATACCTATATTTGAATTTATAAGCTTCTCTTAATAATTCATCAGCATATTCAATATCTTTCTAATAATTTACCTTCGTTATAAGAGAATATTATCACAAGTGATTTTTAAATGATTTTAAAATTGTCTTTTCTCATTAATCATGATAAAATCTAACATTAAAAGAATTAAGTTATATTAAAATATAAGAATTCAGGATTTAAAAGGCAATTTTAATGTTAATTTATTAGAAGAAAATATTGAAATATCATTTAATTTTGTTTCCAACATCACAATTTTAAACTCAATTGCAAGCTTAAAAATAAATTCTTTCAGTTTATTTGAGTAATTAATTTAATATANAGTGGCCGTTGCATTAATTTCAAAGATGAAGGACAAGTATCTTATGCCTGGCAATCCTTATACCAAAGGGAACAGTTGAATTAAAAAAAATTATTTTGACAAAATTTAAATACTGAACAAGCAGTTTTGTAAAATCCCAAAGTACAAATCCTCTTTAAATGTCAGCCACATGAAAGGTTATTTATCAATTTACTGTTTATCGAAATGATCGGGTGCAATAAACCATTGTTTAATATGATAATTAAGATCAATGATCGAACACTATCAGATTAAATTTCATAAATCGAACAATTCTCGAGAGCGTGTAAACACCTTTAATGCTACACTATGACATAGTTGAAGAGAGATTATCGGCACTTCAGAGTTTCGGCCACTTATGCGACTTATTGTATGTAAAGGACTAGAAAGTTTCCTATCGCGTAATGCTAAATAGAAGTAAAGAGATCACACGAATAGAATCAGAATTTCTCTCCTTTAAATCCAACAAAAGTTTAAACCTAGTTTTACACGTTAGAAGTAGTACTTTTATGTGTTAGACGAGCTTAGAATTTTACGCTTAGAGGGCCTGTATATTAATTAAAACCTTGTTTACAATTATGATATGATTCATGAAGCGTTTTAAATTCTTAAATCAACATATGCTTGAAAGATCATCTAATATACTAAATGGAAAGTTAAAGGGAAGAATTATAAGTCGCTCTATCGTGCCAGCGATTGTGCCTGCCAAACCCATCTCACTAACGTATGGCGTAACTAATTGTTAAGACCATTCTTCAATTGATTGTCCGACCTAAAACGACTTAAATTATTTGACCGACTTATTTAGTAAATATAAACTGAATTATTTTACAAACATTTCGTCTAGATACTCCATTTAATAGGCAAGACTGTCTCTTACACTCCCTCCGAATACTGTCAGTAGGCATCAATTTAAATGCTGTTGACACCAAAATAAGTTGTTTGCGGCTAGATAAAAAGATTCTTTCGTTAAAGAAAAAATAAGGTTGATGTTTAATAATTAAAGACTTTGTATTTTTAGAAGAGTTTTTTCTTTTTTAAACAAATTAACGGAAGAAAAATGAAGAGAAAAATTCCAGTAAGTGAAATTAGAATTGAACTAAATTTGCGCTGTGTGTGGCGAAAAATCTAGCTAAAATACATTTAAAAAACAAATAAAATAACATCTCAATAAAATTTCAATTAGAATAAATATAAACGAAACAATCGCAAGCTAAATTTAACATAGAGAAAACAAAGAAAATGACATACGACTGTGAAAATTGATAAAAAAAAAAAAAAGCGATATGTTTTTACAAAAATAAAATTATTTAAATGAAACAAAGACAAGCGTTATCACTAGAATTGTTTCTATAGTTTGAATAGAGGATACTAGTTTATGCATTATTAGTCAGTGTAGTGTGTAACGCCAAGGGCTCCAAACATTGTGTTTTATCTATCACCAGTCAGAACGAAAGTAATAACCTGATGTTATGAACTAGGAAGAAGTAGGTTTTTCATACTATAACATGCTTCTCAGAAATTTTTAGCCAAAGGCAACTTTTCAAGGGTGGAATTGTCTTGACCAACATCCTTTCTGGAAAGCACGCGAGCGGAGATAGAGAGTTATTGAAGAGCCACTACTTAGCGATCCGACGATGCAGTTTCCTGTGTCTTTTGTCATCTGCATGATTCCCAAGCGAAATTCCCTAGCTTCGGGGCAGAGTGTCCCATGGCAAACAGATACTAGAGTAGACTAGTAGTGAATCTCAAGCTCACAAAAACAACGGGACAAAAGTTATTTTTCATCGCCCCGTACACTCGGGGATATATATTTTTTTACCCCCTTTTCCCCTGCACACGCGTACGCTATTCAATGCCGCTTTGTTTAAACGATCAAAATCTTTCCTCCACTCGCTCCCTGTATCTTTTCCTCCCTCTTACCGTTCAACTCTTATAAAAATGTCTTTAGGTAAACTTTGTTTCCTATATTAGGATTAATTCTACGGGATTTTTTTTATTATATAAAAAATAATAATAACTTTGAAAAAATATAAAAAAATTGCATTTTTCTGCAGGATATTCTACTCACTATGTTAGTGAATCTTGAGGTTAGTGTGACATATGACGTAAGAAGACAAACACATTAATGATGACGACCTTGGTGATTTGCTGTACTTGCAAGAAAATAGACTTTCTCCCGAAGATATTAACAAGTACGATGAACTTTAAAGAAAAAAAAGGACGTTAAATTACGCAACTTAAATCTTATACAATGTTAAATATATATAAATATATAAAATAAATGATAAATATTTAAATAAAGAAACATTATGAAAATTTCTTCTTTAGTCTTGATTTTTTTTAAAAAGAAGGAATAAAAACAAGTTAATGCCCTTAAAAATATATGCTAAATCAGCTCTGATAATGTTATACAAATATGTAATATATACAATGTATATACACACGAAAATAAGCGATATTATCAACCTTTGGAGAGAGATTACAAAATTTTCTAGTCTATTGTGTCAACATATGTGTTGACATCTTCTAAAATAATTAGATTAATCTTCCAAATTTACATTATAATAACGTAAAATGTGTAATATTTAAATAAACAAAATAATTGGGATAGAGAGAACAAGTTTATATAACTCATAAACAATTTTTTAAACAAATTGTTATGTTTAAAATTTTGTTTATTAAAACCTACAAGAAAATGTAAACAATAAATTGGGTCAGGTTCAAATGCTTTTCGCGTGAAAAAAAAAGTTCGGATTTTTCTAGAATATTTAAAAATTTCTATTGGTTTTTAATTCATGAATTTATTTTCAGCAAGGTATAATTTAGAATAATTTTTAAGAGGTCCTATTTTAAGGTATAAGGAGTGAATATTGGTTAAAATATAAATAAGGGCATAAATTTAAATTATAATTAAATTTCAGGATGATAATTTTTGAATATTCTGAATAAGGAAAGGTTGAAGAATTGAAGGTTACTTTATGGGCGGTTTTGCATAAAATGGGTGCAAAGCAGACGATGAAACAAAAATTGATTTTATAAATATATTTTTGAAAATTTAGAAATTGGTACGAAGAAAATCTATAAAAAGAATCGAGTGTAGACCTATAATCGGGCTGCAGTTTTAATTATCTTTTATTTTAAAAATCACATGATTTCCGGTTAAAACCGGAAGTTCTTAAATGGTTAATGGGGACCCCTAAGCTTTTGATATCTGGTCTCTATTTTCATCTATTTAACTCTGTTGGAAGAAGGATGGAGAGACGAACAGATGGATTGTTCTGCAATTTGAAAATTTTAGCCTAATAATTCAGAAGAAATTTTCGTAAATATTTTAGCAATAATCACACAAAGAGAGAATTTTAAAAAAATCAAAGCAAATAATATATAGAGAGAACGACGCTATGAGGAGTTTATTAGAAAGGATGGCAATAAAACTTAAAAACAGAACAGAGCAAAATTTTATGTTCTAATTTTAATAAATAACTCAAAAAAAGATTTAATAATCCACAATTTACTACAATTACTTAAACGTGATAAGATAAAGATAATGAATTATAATATAAAACTTTAACCTAGTGACATTTTATACAAAAATATCAAATTCAGATTACGACAGGTGAGTTCAATAGACAGTATGCCGCCTACTTGGGTGTGCGGAGTTTGTCCAGGTGATCAGATAACCGACTGTTTGTCTCAGACAGCCTGTCACCAAGCGCTTTTATCAACAGACTGACAAGAATTAAATGAACTCAGCGACTAATAGTCCATATTCTAATTTTGGAACTCGGTGACCTTGGTAGTGGTTATGAGCATCGTAAACAACATTGGAAAATAAGTGTTTATAGTGCTTTGACATTCGAGCATCGGGTTTTTTATCATTTCAAAATTTAATTTAATTATATACTTTTAAGAAAAGAAGACACATTTTTACACAGATTATAATCATTCATTTTTTTAATCAACGTTTTAAGATTAAAATTCGTTCCGTTTTATAAACATTAGTTAATAAAATGATAGTTTATAGATAATAATTAAGTAATTTTTAAAGATGGAAGCGTTATCGTGCCATAGAAAGCTATTTATTTGGAAAAAAAGAGTAAAAAAAAACTGTCAGAATCTGTTGTATAAACATTACGGGGTATAAAAATCTAAGATCAAAACCCCCGAAATGAAATAATTTTAAATTAAAAAAATAAGAATAACCACGAAAAAAAATTAAAAAAACAATATATTCTTTAGAAAAAAATATAAAAAAGTGGGTAAAATATAAAAAAATACTGTAAAGTTGCCAAAAGAAAATGCTTCTAAATCTCAGCCATCCATCCCATAATTCCAAAGTATAGTTTTGTGAATGTTTTTAATCCTAAGATCACTTATATTTTAAACAAGTAAGGTGCGGTACTTAAAAATCTCCGAGTTTGTAACAACTTGACGGTAACTTAAAAAGTTATTTATTGTAGAGCAGATGAAAATTCGCTATTGTTAAAGCAATGGTCATGAACAATGGAATGGACGATTGTGAGATAAAGCGTATTGTCATTGATCTCAAGTACGCTACTGCATGTCGGAAGTATCTACAATAGAACGTTGTTAATACGCAGTTGACGGCGATGTATTGTACAACTTTACGTAGATTTTTATCCACGACAAGTATTTGACAAACAGTATGGGGGACGGAAGGGGAAGAACTTTAAAAATTCTTCAAAAACGCTCCTCTAGTCGAAGAAAAATCGATATTATCTAAACCTCCATTTTCTATTATTTCTAATTAATCATTTGGGGAGGATATAATTTAAGAAAAAAAAATTAACCACTGTCTATTTCTCTAAAGAATCGTATAAAAAAATATATTCCGATAGGGAGCAAGTTTCCATCAACAGCATCCTTTATATACGGGGTGAATCTGCTTAAACGGAGTACTCAACCCCCCGAAGCTATATTAAGATATTATTAATATGTCTTAAAAAATGGCGATAATAAAACGTTAAAATCTGGCCCTGTGCCTATTTGTGATTCCCACATCGCGCAGAAATACGAGCTTTTCGACAGAACAGTGGTTCGGCTAAATTCGTCTACAGACATATTTTTGTATACCGTTTCCATGTTTGTTTTTCGTCCTATTTTCAAATATGTAGTGTTTGTTGACGTATAGACGAGCGAAAGTGTCTTTACTTTTTATTTAAATAGGTGACGTTCTGTCTTTAAGATCATTACGGAGATTAATTAAGATGAAGTTATTGTAAATACTCTGACATATATTTTTTTTCTTACTCACTTTTACGATTTAGAATGATTAAATATTCATCGATTATATTCGTGTAACGTGGATTTCTAAGTGTTTTAAATGAAGCGCAGTAGCGATTAGGAAGTTAAAAAATATATATAATAAAATAAAAAAATAATGGTTAAAAAAGTTTTGTTATTAACTTATTAGAGAATGGAGAATGGTTAAATTCGATATTAAATAGAAAATTTAGTAAACTTTATAAAGAACTTTCTATTTTCAGCCTTGAGCAGAACTTCATCAAACGTTCTTTGATGCAAGGCAATCAAATCGAGAATAAATCGGATCAGCATTTTCTAATGATGAAGTTTAAGAAATCCAATAAAATATCTTTTGAATAAAATTTCTGATCAAAGTTTTTTAAGAAAAAAAGAAGAAAATTTTCGGCAAATTTCGAAACAAAGAACAAAAATATTCGTACAATTAGACGTAACGCTGCATTTGATATAGTAACATTTCTTCTGTACTAGAACGAATTAACGTTAATCGCATATATATCCTGCTTAATAAATATGATTAAGCATCGATCGATCGATGTTCGATCGAGTGTATAAAATAGTGAGTTCGGTGAATAATTATCTTCCCGTTTACAGTTTAACGTAGTGAGAAATTATGTATATAACATAACAGAATTGATTCTCTTTAGGTTATTTATTATATGTAACAATAAAGAAATCTAAGTAAATATAACTAAAGCGTGTAAAGATCTCAATTGTTATATACATTATATATATATATGACTATATACGGTCATTCGTTCGATTCTTTATAGGAAGTTTTCGCTCATACTTGGCACAGTTAAGTTAGTGTACTAGTGATGTTTATAAGACGTTATTAAGATAACAGAGCGAGTCATAGCCGAAGAAAAGTAAAGACTTTTCTTCACTTTCTGTAGACATTGCGACTGTAGCTTTATCACCCCAACATTAAATTGATCAACCATAAGCAAAGGTCATAAAGTTCTCGGGGGGTAGCAGCTCCGAGCTTTTACTGCTTCTATTGTTTCGGTTCAGCCTCAATAATAAACTCTCCTACAGCTGGATCTGTAAAAATTGATATAGGAAACGATGGGACAGTTTAGTGTGGCGTCAAAAAAGATCTTTTACCTGAAGTTGACCGATGAATTTTATAACAGACTCGCGAAAAGTTTCAAGTAAAATTATCTATGTAATTTTCAAACAATATACAATATATACATAAAGTTTAGATTTATACAGAGTATTTTTATATATAAAAAAAAATTTTATATATGAAATTTATTAATCGATTTAACAGGTAGAGATATCTGATAAAACTGTCATTTCGCCGTTAGCGTAGTACGTGACTGTCTGAATGAAGAATCGTCGGATACTTCAACTAACTGGAGAACTAAACCGTGACAGTGAGTTCTGTCTTCAACACTTTCAGTTCTTCAAACATCTTATTTTAAGAGAGCGATCACTTTTGTGGCTTTCACTTAACATAGGCCTATATACATTATCCCTTTTAATATTCACTTAAAAATAAAAATTAATCGTTTAAATTTCACTTTAAAATCCACTAAAAAGCAATCTAAAGTGTGAAATAATAACATCATCCGATACTAGAGGCTAATTCAAACACGGTTTTAAACCAGTTTTTAACTTTTAAAATTATTTAATAATTATAGATTTATATAAATTTATGCCGTGATAAACGAAACAGCAACAAAGTTAAAAGGAAATTTAAGAATAAGCGAGGCAGTATACTTCTCTAAAGGAATTCATGTTGGAATTTATCATCCTGTACAGATACTTCCAATCCGATCTAAAAGCCCGGCAAGCCTATCTGAAGAGCTATTGTCATCTAAAAGACCACTCGAGGGATAGCTTTCAGTGGAGAATATCACGTCTTCTCACTCGTCCCTGTATCAATTATAAGGCTCTTTATCAATACCGTCCGATAAGTCAATATCCATAATTCTTTGTGAAGAAAACAATTTTAAAACTTGAACATGAAAATGATCTCATTTTCTAATAGTTAGTTTAATAAATTATTTTAAAGCTTTATGAATTAAGTTATATTTTAGAAATTTAAAGAGATTTTTTAAATGTAATTATTTATATTTTCCATAATTTATATTTATTCGTTAAAGATGAGTTAGGTTTATAATAATAATAATACTATTATTATTATTATTATTATTACTATTGTTATTAATTATAGCCTGTATTTTATGGTATTAAATCGTATAAAAATGTAGTATTTGTAGGATTTTCTTATTTTAAGGTTGGTTGAAATTTCAATTCTTTGATACATGATCACAGTTTTAATGATCTGATCGATGGATATACTTGAGTGGCATCGTCTAACACAAACGTGTACCGCATAATTCTTTGTAAAATTTCGGTCTAGAGATCGAGAAAAAATATACAAAATTAAATTTATGAGAGAAACTTTAATTTTTGAACTTCACTCTTTCTAGATCTTTTTTTTTATTATTTTTCTTTTTTACATCACGTTCTTACTTCATATACAAATTGCATTTTTTACAAATTAAAAATGATTAAAATGAAGACCTTTATGCAATTAATTAATTCAAATTCGTTAATTTTATAAAATAAAAATCAAAATATATAATATGTGAGTTATTCTACATATAAAATTAAATTGAAATTCCTAAAAACAAAGAAGAGATATAAAGAATGAAAATGAAGCAGTCCAAAGATACCAAGAAAATAAAGAATAGGAAACCTTATCGTTGCTATCTATGATCTAAAATATTATGAAAAGATTCAAAAGCACTAGTAATAAGTCATGGAAGAGTGCCAAGACATGATATATAAGACTTATTTATAAAGAGTAAAGAGTTTTCAACAAATTACAAATAGCTGATTGCCGACTACATTAACATCTTGTTGAAAGACGCGCAGTTCTAAGACATCGAAAAATTACAAGCAATTAAAATTAATTCTTTTTTATACTGCCAAAAATGAAATGACTGTCATCAACAAGGCATTGCTTCAAAATGTATTTTTACATAGAGACCTCGATGTCTTAAATACTTTTGGAACAAACGTCAGTCGACTTGAAGGATCTGCTTTGAACGATTGTCTTTTGTGACGTTAGTTAAGGTACTTTGTCATAAAGAAGAAGCTTGCCAGGAATTGTTACATTAGTCTTACTTATATTTTTTTTTTAATTGGTATGCAATTAATTCCAAATCAGATAACTCATTACCATATTACTAGTTAAGATAAGTAGAAAATCTCTAATGGTATTGTACAATACCTTAAGGATTTTAAGTGGTAAGACACCATTGCTAAATATTGAAGAGGATAAAATATTAAAAATAATAATAAATAATATAATAAGAATTGCAAATAGTTGTTTGTTTTAAGAAAAAGAAAATAATTCATTCATTCATTAAAATTTAATTAACACGTAACTATATCTTTCCAGCGCTGAAAAACCTAGCTCTTTGCAAAGTTAAAAATCTTTGCATTAATGGTTAAAATACACTTTTATAACATTAAAAAATATACTATCGTGTCATCTAGTGAAGGACAATAGGAAAATTATTCAGGAAACAAAAGAAAAAATTATATTAAGAATCACTTTTTAAAATATTCTTTTTTTCTTTATGTTTTAATAAAATAGACACCTATAAAATTTCAAAATGTTTTATAATTTAACTGAAGAAGTTTACAAAATAAATAACAATTTTAGCAAGGCTAACATAGTGATCTACATTTGTTATTTACATGTCATATATCCAGGTAAAGATATAAAATATCAAGTTCTGATTATATGTTAAAAGTAGTTAGAGATAACAAAAAGTGTGTTTGTAATGTAACTTTACCTATTTAAATTAATCAACAAAAACATGTAAAAAAAATCTCATGATTCGATAATAATAATTTATCAAAATTTGTTTTAGATCTTCAGAATTTAAAATTATCTTTTCTATGAAATAATTCACTTGTGATATGATAATGGATTCTGTCACAAATTTTATTATTATTTATTATAAGAAAACAGTTATATAAATAATTTTGATGATTATAATTAACTTCATAATTATCAAAATTATAATAATGATAATTATAATTGGCATTAAATATTCAAGAGAAAGAGACAATATTAAAGTTTTAATCGAATTAACATGCTTAAACTCAAGAAATCTGCTTTAAAATAAGCCATTTGAATAAGTTAAATGCTTTTGTATAAGTTAAATTTTGAAATTATAGCTTATAAACTTATTATTATTTTATAATTTAATTAAATAGCAATTATTAAAATGTTTCGGGTTTAAAATATCAAATTAAAATTGAAATAATTCAATGTTTTATACAAAAAAAATGTCTGTTATTTCTATTTTCTATTAAATTGGGTTTAATTTAAATTGCTGTTTTTAATCGTTCAATTTTTAATTAATTAAAGAAAACTCATTAGAATGCAAAGAAAATATGAAAAATTAAATTAAAATTTATCGCGTGTAATTTATATTTAAAAAGGAACAAAGTTATAAGTATTAGATATCATAAATGTCGTCATAACCTTGAACATTAACATTTCGTTATAACAACTTTTTCAAGGTTATGATAATTATTCTAATCTACTTTTTAGTTTATTAACCTTTTTTTATTTTACTTTTTAATATAAAAGATTGTAGTGACTCCCTCTATTGACAGAAAAATACTTTAAAAGTGATGATAAGGAAGATAAGTTATCTTTCCTATGCATAATAAGAAAAATGATTAAAGTGCATATTTAAAATTGATTAATTTTTTAAACAAAGATATATATATATATTTATATTATAAAATATTTTTTTAAATTTATAAAATTTTATATAATTTTAGTCACTCTTAACGAGTGTGCTGGGTATATGAATAATATCTCGTTGGGTATATCCTCTTTCAGGTTATGGCAATCTGATTTTGGCTTGGATATAACCTAGTTGAGAGTAATTAGATCTTTTCTAAATACGATCCAAGCGTTCTGAAGGGCTAGGAGAGTAACCCCCTACAAAAGAATTTCCTGTTAACAATTAAATTACAGTAACGAAATGCGTAACAATTCGATTAGTGATCAAATCAAAGAGCTAACGACAATTAAATCCGCTCACCATCGACGTCATTTTTGTAAGAAAGTATTAAAAATCTACATATTAAAACATTATAAATAAACGAAGTTTCGCCTTTCCCCCCTCGTTAAAATCTTTATATATTTATACAAGGGACAATAGTTCCTTTTTCTGATGGATTCTATTGTGTGATAGATAATGTTCAATAACACATTGTCTCCTTTTATCTTAGGTTTACAAAATAGCAACTGTTGAAAATAGTAGAAAATTAAGTGTAGTTGAACTTTTTGGCCAATTTTTACTTTTCCGCATTACAAAGTGTGGCTTTGACAAGAAAGTATTTAGGTTATAGCAATCTCTAAAACATCTCTCGCTTTTCCACATCCGCTATCTTCTACTATCTTCATTAATTTTAAGTAATTAAAAGGTTTAACATAACATTTAAACAATAAAGCAAAAAAAGGAAATGTATTTTTGTTTTAAATTACAACAATTTTAATTAATAATGAAACTAACACTTATTAATGATAAAAAAAAGCTGTCAAGATATTCCTATATATTTTACTATATAACTACAAATAATAATAATAATATTATTGATAGAATTTATTCAAGGGTCTGGGCTGAAGAAAGAGAGTGAAAAGATAAAAAAACAGGATAAGTAAAAGGAGAGAAGTTCCTAGTAAAGTTATAAAATATTCAAAAAATAAAATAAATTAAATAAATATAATTTTAATCTAAATTATCTGAACTGATTTTTGATATTTTAACTTATTTTTTTTAATAAATCTGATTTATTTTCCCTCAAAACAATTAGATTCATGATTCGATATATTAAATAATGGCTCCAGAAGTAATTTTTAAAATTTTATGAATTAATACATAAAAATTTATATTCATAATGCTTATTTTATACACAACTAATTTATTCAATTTTTTTCTATAAATGCTCTCTGATTTATCATCAAAGATAGTATGCAGAGTTAATAATTTTAATAAATAATCTTCATTTAAATTTGATAAAAGTAAATCATTTTACTTAGATAATTATACATAATTACATAATTTGTAAATGTTTTACTCTTTTAAAGTTTAAAATAATTTCAAAATTAATATTTTTAAACAAAAATATTTAAAATTATTTTTATAATAATCAACTTTACTAAAATTAAATACAGTAAGGGACTATTAAATTTGCAACTATTTTTAAATGTATTAATATAATTTATACATGTATAATGAAGGATTTTATAATTTATAATTATTTTAAAAGTATTAATTAACTTTAATTTAATAAATAAAAATTAAAAATTTATCATCATATAATTCTAAAAAACTTAAATAAAACTAATAAATAAATATTTTAATAATTCAATACTTCAAATTCATCTAAAATTTACACTAATTTACAATTATATTAATATAGAAACTTATTCTATTAGTGCTTTAATTATAATATAAATTACTAATTATGATATAATAATATAATACAACAGAATGATTTATAACAGCAATATCTTCACATTTCAAAAACAAAATAAATTATTATAAGAATTATGTTAAATAAATTTTTACATAAAAATAATTACCTCATTCTTTTAGATATTTAACAAATAAATGTTTATAAATAATTAAAATAAAAAGTAATTTTAAAAATTGACTTAAAATGATTAAAATTATACATTTTTTAAATGTTTTATTTGCCATTTATTAACATTAACATTTACATTAATATTAACATTAACATATAAAACATTTATTAATTGTTTTATATGTTAATGTTAATGTTAAAGTCTAAAATAATTTAAAAAGAAAACATTGCTTCTTGTTAAGAAAATAAAATAAAAAAAAAATATTTTAAAAATTTCATATAAATTCAAAAATTTATCTTGCTTTTTGAATTATTTAGATAAAAGACATATTTAAAATGTTAATATATTTATCTCATTT